TTCCGGCCTCGATTCTTTGATAGCTGCAACCATTTTTCCAGAATCGACGGTTGAAATATCGAAATTTTCGAAGATTCGATAAATTAGGCATTTCGTACCGATTTTTTCGAAAATGTCGCTCCGCGACCATCAACAGCCTATATTTTTGGAATCAGCACGTCGAAATCTACGTCCCTGAATTTTTTCAGAATTTTTAAACGACTTTTTCAAAAGTGAAAATTTTCCAATGGTCCTCCCTTCTTCAAATTTCGGCCAAATTTTGACATTTTCGAAACCTAATTGAGTACATTTTCTTGTAGATTTCGAGCTCTGGAACTCACTTCCGGCCTCGATTCTTTGATAGCTGCAACCGTTTTTCCAGAATCGACGGTTGAAATATCGAAATTTTTGAAAATTCGATAAATTAGGCATTTCGTACCGATTTTTTCGAAAATGTCGCTCAGCGACCATCAACAGCCTATATTTTTGGAATCAGCACGTCGAGATCTACGTCCCTGAATTTTTTCAGAATTTTTAAACGACTTTTTCAAAATTGAAAATTTTTCAATGGTCCCCCCTTCTTCAAATTTCGGCCAAATTTTGACATTTTCGAAACCTAACTGAGTACTTTTTCTTGTAGATTTCGAGCTCTAGAACTCACTTCCGGCCTCGATTCTTTGATAGCTGCAACCGTTTTTCCAGAATCGACGGTTGAAATATCGAAATTTTTGAAAATTCGATAAATTAGGCATTTCGTACCGATTTTTTCGAAAATGTCGCTCCGCGACCATCAACAGCCTGTATTTTTGGAATCAGCACGTCGAGATCTACGTCCCTGAATTTTTTCAGAATTTTTAAACCACTTTTTCAAAAGTGAAAATTTTCCAATGGTCCCCCCTTCTTCAAATTTCGGCCAAATTTTGACATTTTCGAAACCTAACTGAGTATATTTTCTTGTAGATTTCGAGCTCTAGAACTCACTTCCGGCCTCGATTCTTTGATAGCTGCAACCGTTTTTCCAGAATCGACGGTTGAAATATCGAAATTTTTGAAAATTCGATAAATTAGGCATTTCGTACCTATTTTTTCGAAAATGTCGCTCCGCGATCATCAGCAGGTTATATTTTTGGAATCAGCACGTCGAGATCTACGTCCCTGAATTTTTTTAGAATTTTTAAACGACTTTTTCAAAAGTGAAAATTTTCCAATGGTCCCCCCTTCTTCAAATTTCGGCCAAATTTTGACATTTTCGAAACCTAATTGAGTACATTTTCTTGTAGATTTCGAGCTCTGGAACTCACTTCCGGCCTCGATTCTTTGATAGCTGCAACCGTTTTTCCAGAATCGACGGTTGAAATTTCGAAATTTTTGAAAATTCGATAAATTAGGCATTTCGTACCGATTTTTTCGAAAATGTCGCTCAGCGACCATCAACAGCCTATATTTTTGGAATCAGCACGTCGAGATCTACGTCCCTGAATTTTTTCAGAATTTTTAAACGACTTTTTCAAAATTGAAAATTTTTCAATGGTCCCCCCTTCTTCAAATTTCGGCCAAATTTTGACATTTTCGAAACCTAATTGAGTACATTTTCTTGTAGATTTCGAGCTCTGGAACTCACTTCCGGCCTCGATTCTTTGATAGCTGCAACCGTTTTTCCAGAATCGACGGTTGAAATTTCGAAATTTTTGAAAATTCGATAAATTAGGCATTTCGTACCGATTTTTTCGAAAATGTCGCTCAGCGACCATCAACAGCCTATACTTTTGGAATCAGCACGCCGAGATCTACGTCCCTGAATTTTTTCAGAATTTGTAGACGACTTTTTTAAAAGTGAAAATTTTCCAATGGTCCCCCCTTCTTCAAATTTCGCCGAAATTTTGACATTTTCGTAACCTAACTGAGTTCATTTTCTTGTAGATTTCGAGCTCTAGAACTCACTTCCGGTCTCGATTCTTTGATAGCTGCAACCGTTTTTCCAGAATCGACGGTTGAAATATCGAAATTTTTGAAAATTCGATAAATTAGGCATTTCGTACCGATTTTTTCGAGAATGTCGCTCCGCGATCATCAACAGCCTATACTTTTGGAATCAGCACGCCGAGATCTACGTCCCTGAATTTTTTCAGAATTTGTAGACGACTTTTTTAAAAGTGAAAATTTTCCAATGGTCCCCCCTTCTTCAAATTTCGCCGAAATTTTGACATTTTCGTAACCTAACTGAGTTCATTTTCTTGTAGATTTCGAGCTCTAGAACTCACTTCCGGTCTCGATTCTTTGATAGCTGCAACCGTTTTTCCAGAATCGACGGTTGAAATATCGAAATTTTTGAAAATTCGATAAATTAGGCATTTCGTACCGATTTTTTCGAAAATGTCGCTCAGCGACCATCAACAGCCTATATTTTTGGAATCAGCACGTCGAGATCTACGTCCCTGAATTTTTTCAGAATTTTTAAACGACTTTTTCAAAATTGAAAATTTTTCAATGGTCCCCCCTTCTTCAAATTTCGGCCAAATTTTGACATTTTCGAAACCTAACTGAGTACTTTTTCTTGTAGATTTCGAGCTCTAGAACTCACTTCCGGCCTCGATTCTTTGATAGCTGCAACCGTTTTTCCAGAATCGACGGTTGAAATATCGAAATTTTTGAAAATTCGATAAATTAGGCATTTCTTACCGATTTTTTCGAAAATGTCGCTCCGCGATCATCAGCAGGTTATATTTTTGGAATCAGCACGTCGAGATCTACGTCCCTGAATTTTTTCAGAATTTTTAAACGACTTTTTCAAAATTGAAAATTTTTCAATGGTCCCCCCTTCTTCAAATTTCGGCCAAATTTTGACATTTTCGAAACCTAACTGAGTACTTTTTCTTGTAGATTTCGAGCTCTAGAACTCACTTCCGGCCTCGATTCTTTGATAGCTGCAACCGTTTTTCCAGAATCGACGGTTGAAATATCGAAATTTTTGAAAATTCGATAAATTAGGCATTTCTTACCGATTTTTTCGAAAATGTCGCTCCGCGACCATCAACAGCCTATACTTTTGGAATCAGCACGCCGAGATCTACGTCCCTGAATTTTTTCAGAATTTGTAGACGACTTTTTTAAAAGTGAAAATTTTCCAATGGTCCCCCCTTCTTCAAATTTCGCCGAAATTTTGACATTTTCGTAACCTAACTGAGTTCATTTTCTTGTAGATTTCGAGCTCTAGAACTCACTTCCGGTCTCGATTCTTTGATAGCTGCAACCGTTTTTCCAGAATCGACGGTTGAAATATCGAAATTTTTGAAAATTCGATAAATTAGGCATTTCGTACCGATTTTTTCGAGAATGTCGCTCCGCGATCATCAACAGCCTATACTTTTGGAATCAGCACGCCGAGATCTACGTCCCTGAATTTTTTCAGAATTTGTAGACGACTTTTTTAAAAGTGAAAATTTTCCAATGGTCCCCCCTTCTTCAAATTTCGCCGAAATTTTGACATTTTCGTAACCTAACTGAGTTCATTTTCTTGTAGATTTCGAGCTCTAGAACTCACTTCCGGTCTCGATTCTTTGATAGCTGCAACCGTTTTTCCAGAATCGACGGTTGAAATATCGAAATTTTTGAAAATTCGATAAATTAGGCATTTCGTACCGATTTTTTCGAAAATGTCGCTCAGCGACCATCAACAGCCTATATTTTTGGAATCAGCACGTCGAGATCTACGTCCCTGAATTTTTTCAGAATTTTTAAACGACTTTTTCAAAATTGAAAATTTTTCAATGGTCCCCCCTTCTTCAAATTTCGGCCAAATTTTGACATTTTCGAAACCTAACTGAGTACTTTTTCTTGTAGATTTCGAGCTCTAGAACTCACTTCCGGCCTCGATTCTTTGATAGCTGCAACCGTTTTTCCAGAATCGACGGTTGAAATATCGAAATTTTTGAAAATTCGATAAATTAGGCATTTCTTACCGATTTTTTCGAAAATGTCGCTCCGCGACCATCAACAGCCTATACTTTTGGAATCAGCACGCCGAGATCTACGTCCCTGAATTTTTTCAGAATTTGTAGACGACTTTTTTAAAAGTGAAAATTTTCCAATGGTCCCCCCTTCTTCAAATTTCGCCGAAATTTTGACATTTTCGTAACCTAACTGAGTTCATTTTCTTGTAGATTTCGAGCTCTAGAACTCACTTCCGGTCTCGATTCTTTGATAGCTGCAACCGTTTTTCCAGAATCGACGGTTGAAATATCGAAATTTTTGAAAATTCGATAAATTAGGCATTTCGTACCGATTTTTTCGAGAATGTCGCTCCGCGATCATCAACAGGCTATATTTTTGGAATCAGCACGTCGAGATCTACGTCCCTTGAAAACTGCAGAAACTCAAACCGAAAAATTGCAAAATGTAAACATTGAAAAATTCGAAATTTGGAAAATTGAAAAACTGAAAAATTCAAGTAAATTTTTACTTTATATAGGTTATCAGAAAACAAATATCGTAATAGATTTTTCAAAAAGCGGGATTTATTGGGCTGCATTTCAGGGGCAAGGAAAGTTCGATCGAAATAACCTTCGACCAATTGTTTTCATTTTTTTTTTATTTCACATTTTCCCATTTTTTTATTTGAAAAGTTAAATAACGAAAATCTAAAAACCGGAAATAAAATAGAAAATCGAAAAATTGCAAATCAAAGAACTGAGGAAACGAAAAATTGCAAACCAAAAAATTGAAGAAATGAAAAATTGAAAAATTAAAAACTGAAAACTCCTGAAATTTCAAATAGAAAAATTGCAAAATCCAACAACTTGAATATCCAAAAGTTGAAAAACCGAGAAACTGAAAAACTAGAATAAAGAAATCAAAACGAATTGAAAAATTGCAAATCGAAAAATTGAAAAATTGAAACTGGAAAGACAAAAAATTATAAAATCGGAACTTCGAAAACGAAATTTTCAAAAAATGTTAATGATAGTCGAAATAACCTTAGACCAATTTTTAATTTATTGGTGTTCATTTTTGTACAATTTTAGGGTTATATCGAGGCGCCATCATGGAAAGTAGTTCCGTTCTAAGTTCTTTTGGCTATCAAAGAAATGCAAGAAGTTATGCTTTTAAAACAGCGTCTTACATCAATTCCAGTATTACTGACGAAAGTACGTCTCAAGACGTTTTGAACACCATGCTTCAAGCAACTGCCGAAGAAATAGACACCACAGCTCAAACAGTAGTTGGCGAGGTCAGCACTTTAAAAAATAGCAATTTAAGAAAAATAATCACTTTCGTGGTTTTTTTTTTTAATTTCAGGAAAGCTACGATAACGGTATGATACTTCAGGGCTACTACTACGCACCAGTCATAGAACTAGAGTCAGATGATTCCTTCTTGACGGAGAAAATGTTCGAAATTGTCAAAAAAGGCGAAGCTAGTCGAGTACCCGTCATAATAGGCATTAATTCCGAAGAAGGCATAAGCCAATCCACTGGTATATAGACCGACAAAACTTTAAATCACCTCCACTGAGCAAAAATATTTCAGACTTAAATTTCTTGCAAAAACTGATGTCTCTTTATGACAATGACTTGAAAGCACTGGTTCCAAAAGACATGAATATTGAATCAGATGCTACTAAAACTGAAGCTGGTGAACGAATACGACAGTTATACAGCGGTGACGATCTTCTACAGAATGTTCCAGCAGCTGGAATTCGCGTAAAAACAATTAACTATTATCAATCACCAAACAAGTTTAATAACGTTTTTATTTGCAGTATATGAGCGACATGTCCTTTACAAGATCTGTAATTAAGTTTGCACAACTGCAATGTCAGTTTTCAGACGTGTATTTCTACCAGTTTTCGTACGACGGAAAAATGGGTAACGTTTCTGTTATAGTGGAAGGTGCTGAACGTGTTGGTCACAATGAAGAAAACGCCTATCTTTGGAGAATTTCGAGCGATTTGTTTTATAATTACGATTTGTCTGTTTTTCCGGACGAAGATCTTACTGCACAAAATCGACTGCTTACGATTTGGACCAACTTTGCTAAGACATTGCAAGTTAATTTTTTGGTGGTTTGTACGGTATACATGACTCTTGTTTTAGGAATCCGACTCCAAGGAAGTTAGATTTGTTGCAAAATATTACTTGGCCGACTGTGCAGCCCGACAACGATTTTCCATACTTGAACATCGATAGTGTTCTCGAAGTGAAAAATTATCCGAAAAATGAGAGTTTTAGTGGCTGGGAGGCGATTTATAGAGATTTTGGTGTGGAACCTTACGACACTTATTAAACTGAAAAATGTATTTTTTTTTCAAATATGGCAAAAGAGTTAAAATAAGATTAATAATTAATAACTGTTGTTTTCTTTAACCGTTTTTCTCTTCAGGTACATACAAAAAAATTATCAACAAAGTGAAGTATTTTTACTTCCAGAGTGTAAGCTAAGACAGCATTGTAATTGAGACAATTTTATAAAATAACATACTCCTTTATTTGTGGTTTATGAATCCATGTTGAGCTTTTAACCTAAGTTTTTTTTTATTGTAGATATAAAAATTTTTCGATTTTCCGATTTTTCGACTTTCGATTTCTCAATTTTTTCGATATTTCCGTTTTGGAATTTTTAAAATTTTTTTCTTCAATTCCTTGAACTTTTATTTTTTCGATTTCTCGATTTTCAAATTTTTTTATTACTTAGTATTGGATATTGTGTGTTAGGATTTTTCAATTTTTCGATTTTTAGGTTTTTGATTGTTCAATTTTTCGATTTTTTGACTTTGTACAACTTTTCAATTTCTTGATTTCTCGATTAATTGTTTTTGGTTCTTCTATTTCAGTTTGCCGACTTTTTAAGGTCAGGATTTTAATGTTTTTCAATTCCTCAATTTTTCGATTTCTCAATTTTCAGTGGTGCGATTGTTCAATTTTTCGATTTTTCCACTTCGACTTTACGAAATTTCGATGTCCCGGTTTCTCAATTTCTCAATTTTTTGATTAATTGATTTCTTGATTTCTCAATTTCTCGACTCTTCAATTATCAAATTCACAATTTTTTCAGTTTCTTGATTTTTCAAACTTTCAATTTCTCGAGTTTCAATTTTTCCATTACTCAATTTTTTTATATTTCAGTCTTGGGATGTTAAAGTTTTTTGATTTATTTTTTATCTTTCGAATTCTCAAATTCTAGATTAATTGATTTTTGATTTTCTGATTTTCCCATTTCTCGATTTCTTGACTTTTCAATGCTTCAATTTTGTAGATCTAAGGTGTTTTCGATTTCTAAGTTTTTCGCATTTTCGATTTCTAAATTTTTAGATTTTTCAATTTTTCATCACTTCTGTTTTGAAATTCTACAATGTCTTGATTTTTCAGTTTTTCGGTTCTTCAATGTTTTGGAATTTATTAAATTTCGGATTTTCGATTTTTCGATGTCTCGGGTTTTCGATTTTTTTTTAGATTTTTGAATTTTTCAATTCCTCGATTTTTCAATTTTTAAATTTTTCAATTTTGCAATGTTTGAATTTCTCGATTAACCAATTTTCCGATTTCTTTAATTTTCAGTATTTTTATTTTACAATATTTCGTTTTTTCAATTTTACGCTTTTTCGAATTTTAATTTTTTTCTCACTTTTTTCTATCTCGATTATTCAAAATTTTCATGTTTTTGATTTCCAGTTTTTAGATTTTTCAGAGTTTTCGTTTTGTTTTTTTGATTTTTCAATTTTACGATTTTGGAATTTTTTGATTTTCTTGATTCGAAAATTTGAAAAATCGAATATTTAAAAATCGAAAAACTAAAAAATCGGAAAAAATTGCAAAATCGAAAAACTGCAAATCGAAGAACCCAAGAAACGAAAAACTGAAACACAAAATAAAAACGAAAAACTTAAAAACCGAAAAAATTAATGAATCGAAAAATTGGAAAGAAGAAAAAACGCGATAGCGCAAAAATTCTAAAATGGAAAATTATAGAATCGAAAAACTGAAAAATTAAAAATCGAGAAACTGAAAAATTAAAAACAAAAGATTAAAATCGAAAAATTGTAAATTTGGGAATTGAAGAAGTAATTTTTTTTTAAATTATTGTTTTATTATTATGTATTTAACATGAAGACTAGAAAAAATACTCATCATAAATTGAAGAAACGAAAAATCGAAAAATCCAAACCTTAAAAATCTAAAATTGAATAAACAAAAATTAAAAAGTTTAAAACTTAAAAAATCGAAAAATTGATAAATTTTACACTGAAAAAAAGAAAAGTTATAAAACATTCGAAAACAGAAAAACTGAAAAAGTAAAGAAAATAAAAAATGAAAAAATTAAATAAGAAAAACTTAAGAAATGAAATTGGAAAATCAAAATTGAAAACTCTTGAAATTGAAAATTGAAAATTTGTAAAATTGTAAAAGTAAACATAATAAAAACCGAAACGAACGAAAATTAAAGATGAAAAATCGAGAAATCCAAACAATCCAAAATTGAAAAATTTAAATGTAAAAAAAGAAATCGAAATATTGATAAATTTAAAAAATCGAAGAATTTTAAAAAACGAAAAACCGAAAAATCAAAAAATCCAAAATTTAAATGAGGAAACACTAAAAAATCGAAAAACTGAAATGTCAAAAAACGAGAACTCGTAAAATATAAAATTTAAGAAATCAAAAAAATTTAAATATCGAAAATTGCAGAAATGAAAAATTGAAAAATCGAAAAATTGGAAAATCAAAAATTGAAAATTCGTGAATGCAAACTGAAAACATGTAAAAATCAAGATAATAAAAACTTCAAACGAACGAAGATGTTCAGACATGAAAAATTGAAGAATCCAAAAATTGAAAAATCCCAAAATTGAAATTTAGAAAAATTGGGAATTCGGAAAATTGAAAAATCGAAACATGGAGCAACTGGAAAATTGAAACATTAAGAAATAAAAGGATTAAAAATTGAGAAATCGAAAAGTGAGAAGTCAAAAAACTCAAAAATCAGGGAATCTAAAAGAAATCGAAATAACCCAAAATCGAAAAATCGAAAGACTAAAATTTAAAAAAATGAAAAATTTAAATGTAAAAAAATTGAAAAATGAAAAATCGAAAAATCTAAATATCAAATACTCAATAAATTGAGAAATCAAAAATTGATGAAGTTGAAAAATCGAGGAATTTAAAAACCGAAAAATTGAAAATCAACAATTGAAAATTCGTGAATGCAAATTGAAAAAATGTAAAAAATCAAGATAACAAGAACCGAAACAAACGTTGAAACATGAAAAATTGAAGAATCCAAAAATTGAAAAGTCCCAATATTGAAATCTAGGAAAATTGGGAAATTGGAAAATTGAAAAATCTAAACATGGAGCAACTGGAAAATTGAAACATCGAGAAATCAAAGGATTAGAAGATTGAAAAATCGAAAAGTGAGAAGCCAAAAAACTCAAAAATCGGGAAATCTAAAAGAAATCGAAAAACTAAAATTAAAAAAATTGAAAAATTTAAATGTAAAAAAATTGAAAAATTGAAAATTCGAAGAATCTAAACTTCAAATAGGTACTCAATAAATTGAGAAATTCAAAAATTGATGAAACTGAAAAAATGAATTTAAAAACCGAAACATTGAAAAACCAAAAAATGCAAAATTTAAAAAATCAAACATTGAAAAGTCGAATATCACAAATATCAAAAACCGAAAACTAAAGAAAACTGCAAAAATCCAAATCGGAAAATGAAAAAGTTTCTTTTTTTTAATTTCACAATTTTTCCATTTTTTGGATTCGAAAAGCTGAAAAATTGAAAAATTAAAAACGAAAATCTAAAAAAATCACCAAAAATTAAAAAATCGAAAAAGGGGAATCGAAAAATTGAAAAAATAAAGAACATAAAAAGCCGAAACGAAAAATTACACATCGGAAAAGCAATTTCGCAATTTTTTCATTTTTTTTATTCGAAAAGTTGATAAATTGAAAAATTAAAACCGAAAATCTAAAAAATCGGCATAAACTAAAAAATCGTATAAAAATCGAGAAACTGAAAAAAAATTAAAAAACGAAGAATTAAAAAATGTAATTGGTTTTTGATTTTTAAAAAAATTGCGATTGTGAAAATCCAAAAATTAAAAAATTCTACATTAAAAAAAGGGAAAATTCCAAACAAAAAAATTGAAGAAATGAAAAATTGAAAAATTAAAAATTCAAATCTCGTGAAATTACAAATCGAAAAATTTCAAAATCGGCCTAACTTGTGTTGTAAATAAAATTATTAAAGCGTTTATTTTCTTAAAGTCTTTCCCATAACGTTTCAAGCAACCGACAAAATATTAAAGTCTAGTCATTTTCCTCTCCTCAACTTGTTTTTGAACTCGGCTTCAACCGCACGCCGACATCTCGCCCAATAATAAGGAAGCCCCGTCGCAGGCCCAGAATCTGGGCTAGTCGACGTAAACATGATATTAAAATTCGTTCTGGGCTCGCGATCCGTTTAATTAAACGTCGTCCGAGTGATTCTTTTCACGTTGACTTTTTCGACTTTTGACGTGCCGTCAGCAATAAATATCTGCAGAAGCCGTCAATAATAAATTCCCTTTGTGGGCGGGCGGCCGTGCAACGTACCTACATCTCTAAAATAAATCTCATCAGCAACAATGGCAACCGGCAAATATTAGTAATATTCCGGCGGTTGAGAAGCAATAAATAAATACCAGAATCAAATAAAGCAAACCGGGGTCCGCTTAAAAAAGTAATTACACATCAAACGAATCCGGGAAAAATGCGGTCGGAATTCATATTGTTTTCATAACATAACGAGCCGCTTCTGCGGTGCGATATAAACTGTCATATATCAAGAGGCAACGAGCATAAGGGCGGAGGGCGGAGGGCCGAGGGCGGCCTCCCCTCGCTGTCCCATCACATGATTGACTATGTTAATATCATTTGTCGGCAGATCTGAAAGCAAGTCAAGCACCGGTGCTAAATCCGCTCTCCAGATTATATTGGGTCCGTCGCTTCGCTCTCATTAAACTCCGGATTTAATATTATCCGCCGGAATCTTAGCGGAGATTTTTAAATTTCCTCTTATTACTTCATTATTAAACGACGACCCTCGCAGATATTAAATCCGGAAAAAGCGGATGTTTTTCCGACGAGGTGACAATCCAGGCGGCCGCTTTAAATAAAATAGCGCAAAACAGGAAGGTCGATGAACACGAAATACATTAATTTTTTTGGAGCGTGCAAAAAGTGCTAAAAGCGTTACTAACACGGTTTATCAATTAATGAAAATAAAACGAGCTTTACGTTATTAATTTGTTGAAAGAAATATACAGATGTTTGTGGCCATATAGTGTGAGCTTTCGATGTTTCGA